CAAGTATCAGCATTAAAACATTGAGTTGAACTGGTTAAACTACCATTACCCCTAGTTGCCTATCTGTACATTTATCTGTCTGTCTGTTCAGCTGTATCTGTTCATCAGTCTGTCTGTCTGTGTGTTCATCTGCTTCTAGTTCTAGATTCATTGCTACAAGTTTTAGTGTGAAGAAAGTTTTTTTTTCCAATGTTGAAGTCGAAGTGAAAAATAATTCCATATTCCTATAGCCCCAAATATCTGTTGGGAGCCTTTGAGGTCACCTGGGGGTCACTGGTTGTGTCTGAAATCCCTCCCTATTCACTAATTCACTACTCCCTATATAATGTACAGTAATTAGTTTACTCAGTAGTGAACAGAAGATTGAGATTTTGGACACTTACTAATCATCTGCATTTTGTTGTAGAACCATGTGACAATAATTTCCCATCTGATAAAATGAAGTTCAGCCACAGACCTGAGGGTCTTGACTTCCTTCATGGCTTTGTGTGTATTTTTTAGGATGCTTCTGTAAACAAACTGACATCTGACCTGATGTAAGCCCCACCCCACACACCGGTCAACACCACAGTGAGCTGTGATTGGACAGATTTGTGTCTTTACATTGTTAGTGCCCTGACTTCTCATTGCATGTCTGTGCGTTGTTGTGTGTTCTGATATTTCTTTGGCTGTTGTTCATGACATGTTTTAAATTAAACTGTGAAATACATGTTGTTGTTTGCAGGTGAACTTCCTGTGTTGATGACCTGGGGCCTGTACTACGAGGCAAGATTAGTGGCTTATCCAGCTAACTTTGGGCTCAGCTCAGGTTTTCTGGTACCACAAAGCTGGCTTGCCCTCCGGGCTAAATCACCACGGTAACAGATCAGTGTTTCCCATAGAATTATTCTTTGCCAGTCTTGCCAGACTCTCCGATGTCAGTGAGTCGCTTCCTGCTCTGACCCTCTAAATCTGACAGGTTATCTTGGTTACATTGAATGAGCTTGAGAAAAACCTGCTCCCAAGTAGTTTGAGATTATGGACATGTTGCAGTGACAACGAGTCCTATGAGACCTTCAAAGAGCCAACTGATCCAGGACCATGTGAACTTGTCAAGAAAGATAGTCCATGTACAAATAACACCCCACAGGGTAGTGTAGTGGATTGGAACATTTGAAAACAAGATTTGAATGTATGAAATATTTGCTTTTGACTTTCCATCTCTGTAGTAGTGTTTTTAATGTCTTCAAGGTTTTGAAACATGCTTTGCAGACATTAAACACGCCTCACTCCAGAAAGAAATGAGGTTTTCCTTGTAATTTGTCCTGTTTGTCAGGTGAGAACTTTTGATCTGACTGATGCATAAACACCACCTCAACCATCACCGTGGACTACTGAAGACACCTGTAACTCGACCTGCATAAAAGTTCCATTTCACAGCACTCTGATGTTTGTTTTTTTTACACTTTGTTTTCATGCGGAGCCTCATCAGAAATCCCAGAATCCAAAACTGACAGAGCAGGCTCTTCTCTAGAATCTGAGAAAAGTGAGTCAATTGTTTTTATACATATCATGTTTATATGATTCAGTTTTACAGTGCTTCTCATTAGTTGTGGCTCATTTTTTGGAAACATCACTACTCTTCTCAAAGCTTACTGTGCATTTGTCACAACAGTTTAAACAAACAGCACAGCACTGCACTGTAGTTCATCAGCTAAAGGATAAACTTCACCCAAAACCTTCAGCTCATATCTGAACAGTAAATTTTATGTCAGAGAAAAGGGATATTCCATTAGTATTGTGTGTGTCAGTGTTCTTGGCGTGTTTTGTCACTAAGACAGTTGGGCACTGACATTTGATATAATGTGTGGAAACAGTTTTAATTTCCAGTAATGTTTTCACAGGAATATGTATATGTATGTGGAAAGGCTATTGGTCCAGATGACATACCTGTAGAGGTGTGGAAGTGTCTAGGAGAGACAGCAGTGGAGTTTCTATCTAGTTTGTTCAACATGATTTTAGAGAGTGAGAAGATGTTTGAGGAATGGACGAGAAGTGTACTAGTGCCGATCTTTAAGAACAAGGGTGATGTGCAGAGTTGTAGCAAGTACAGAGGTATAAAGTTGATGAGCCACACAATGAAGCTATGGAAAAGAGTAGTGGAAGCTAGGCTAAGAAAGGAAGTGGATATTTGTGAGCAGCAGTATGGCTTCATGCCCAGAAAGAGCACTACTGATGCAATTTTTGCTCTGAGAATGTTAATGGAGAAGTATAGAGATGGTCGGAAGGAGCTGCATTGTGTCTTTGTGGATTTAGAGAAAGCGTATGACAGAGTGCTGAGAGAGGAGCTATGGTACTGTATGAGGATGTCAGGAGTGG